ATCCCCTTGTTCTGTGTTTTCTTTATTGTGTCTATTTCAGCTTTCATGCCTTGAACTGTTTCAAGTGCTTCTTTCACTTGTTTGGTTGTTTTCTCTTGGCTTTCTTTAGATTAAGAGATTTGTTTACTTCTTCAATGTTTTGGGTTGTCTTTTCCTCCATTTCATGTAATTTTTTGCTTGTTTTTCCTTCCATTTCTTTAAGGGATTTTCTTGTTTCCTCTTTAAAGGTCCCTATCATCTTCCTAAGAAGATATTTTTTGAGGTCCATCTCTTCTTCATGCTCTGTGTTGGGCTTTTCAGATCTTGCTGGTGTGGAGTCCCTAGATTCTGCTGTTGCTGAGTGTGTTCTCACTCTGTCTTCTTACCATCCCTTCTTCCAGTGAGTGCAGGTGGGGTCTCTCCCTCTCTCAGGTGGTGTGCAGAGGGCTCAGCCTCTGGAGGCAGCTGGATGGGAGAGGGTGGTGGGTGGACAAGGGTGGAGTGTGACTGGACTCAGGGTGGGCCTTCCTTGTCTGGGCCGGTCCATTCTTTCCCAGGTGGGCTGAGGCAGAAGTGACAAGGATTGATGGGGGAGGAGGGGGAGCAGAGAAGTGCCCAGACTCACCTGAGTCTAGGGCACCCACTGCAAGACAGATGACAGAGTGTAGATGGAGTAAATACATTTAAAAACAAACAAAAAACTCACTTCTTCAGGGTCTGAAGTCTTTCTTATGCAATACAGGAATTAACATGTTGATAATTTAATAGCCCCTGCATCCCCAGTGATCCAGCTTTTGTTCTTGTGTTGTTAATGGTCAGGAAAAACTGGCCTCAGAATGAGTCAGTGTGTTACTTCCTTTTCTCTGTTTTGTGACAGAACATTTTACAAAGGTAATTAGGAGAGGAGTACAGTAATCTGACTCACAGTTTTGAGTTTTCCTTCCACTAAGGGATAGCAGAGGGACACAGAAGACCTGATTCAATTGCATCAGCAGAGAACAATTGGATGATTCTGTCCAGCCATCTTTGTCCTTCTTAATCAGTTTAGAATCCCAGGCTTGGATGGGTGCTGCCTAGACTAGCCAGCTACCACTTTGAAAATGTCAATCTAGAAACTCCCTCACAAGTACATAAAGGTTTGCTTCCATGGTGATTCCAGATTTCTTCCAGTGGATAATCAAGTTGAACCCTGTTTGTTTTTTTGTTTTTTTTTAACGAAGTATCTCCCCCTCTACTATTTATGGCAATTTTTAAAAGTAAGCCTAGTTATTTCTTCTATAAATTAGCTAAACCAATTTTTGTCTCTTTTTTTGGCTGAAAGTTGCACCATAAATGCATTTTTTGTTGTTGTTTTGATGAAGGCCTCTTCAGGTCATTTCTGTAATGTTCAGACTTTAATGACATGTTTTTACCGAAATGTGTTCATGGAGTTTAATTCCATATAAAAGTCTAGCATGATTCATTATAACTTTGTTATATATTTAATTTCTGCATTGCTTTAGTGTTCTTGCTTCTCTTATCTTGATAACTTCAAGATTGGTTTGTTGTTCTATTCCTTCTTCATTCTGTCAGTGTATGTATAGATATATGCAAATAGTAAACATAAGGAAGTTTTTAACTTGCCTAAGTCTGTCTTTTATTTTATGTTTCATTGAATATTGCTTTTATTTATGTTATTTAATTTCTGTGTACTTTGTACTTAATCTAATGTTTCTTTTTAGGGAACACTTCTGTCATTGAAGTTTTTTACCTTTCTCATATAATAATGCTTTTATCTGAAAATATTTCTTTAATGATACATTTTTGATTTTAGACAATTATAATTGAATGTTTCTTTGCATCAAACTCCTTTTAATTTCTACCTAACTTTTCATTAAATATTATTTTTGGTACTGGTTATTTGTATGTATGTTGTTTTCGTTCCCAGTTTGTGGATATGCTTAACCTTAATTTCTGATATAGTTTTAACTTACATTAATTATTTGTCAATCAGCAAATGTTTTTAAAAAGTTTCTACAGCCCGATAAGCCTCTTAGCTGATATAGCAATTCAAATAATCAGACCAAAACAAACCAAATTAGAAAAATGCCAAGTTTAATGCATACAAAGCTCCCATATGGCCTTCCAGTCCCCAAGAGAGGAGACTGGAAAAACCATGAGTGTGTTTTCTGGGAGGCAGTTTACACTCTCTGGGAGTGGTCTTGAGTATCTGTGGGGGAGGGGTCATCATTTGTAGGGCACTCAGAGATGCAGCAGGGTTTGGAGAGGTAAAGGAGGGGACTTGGGTGGAACTTCTACAATAACATTCCAGACTCCTTGGGCATATGGATGTCAGGGACTGGGGTGAAATTTCCATGGTGTATTCTTTGGGTATATGATGCTGGGTTCATGTCTGGTTTCTTCCTGCTGACAAGGGACGATGTGGGGGAGGGAGGAGTAGGAGACAGTGGGATCACTCTCAGCAGGAGGTATGAGTGAAGAAGCATTCAGTTAGCTGCCATCCTGTAGACCCCAGGTACCTGTTCCTTGAGGAGGCAGAAACGGCAGGTTGCTGGGAGAAAAAAAAATAGATTGTTATCATTGACCCTATGAATGGGGCTTGTCGTGGGAAGGGTGATATCTGTCAGAATGAAGAAAATGAAGAAGTGTCCTGGTAGTACAGAAGAGGCAAGAGTGAATGAGTGAGACAGGAGAGCAGATAAGTCCTTCATTTGGACATCTTGTAAAACCAGATTCTAGTTGTTGGGTACGGTTCCTCTTAAGCCTGGAGAGGTGAAGTCCCAGGAGCTGGTGCAGGTGCTCTAATTATCTGGAGGATCCTCTCTGTGTTAGCCTTGGCCCAGGTAGGAGGAGTGAACCTGTAAAATATGCTTGAAAATAGATGGGTGACACTAACAGTCCTGATTTCTTGATATAGAAGCAAAACTTTCCCCTGGAAATTACAGGTACCTGTAAGACAACTGGAAAAATTTTATGTCTTGGTGCCATAGCAAAAGGCTTTAGGTTAAAAGGTATGAACATTTTTAGAATACCAACGGAAATTTAAAACTCTGAACCTCTGAAGTTACATCTGAAACCTGCTAGTCCCTGATTACGAAGCCTGTAAAAGAGGCACACATGTCTGAACTTTTAGCAAGAAACTTAAACTACAGAGATATCAGTACCCTCGTCATCGTCATCAAATGCATTTGAATGAGTCTGTTTTTATGGGGTGTGGTGGCACAGTCCTTTAATCCCACACTCCAGACAGAGACAGGGGAACCTCTGTTCCAGGCCAGCCTGGTCCATAAAGTGAGTTCCAGAACAGGCTCCAGAGCTACAGAGAAATCCTGACTCAAAACAAACAACAACAACAAAAAGAGTCTGTTTCTGCTTTCAGTCTTTACCATTGTAGTTGATGGTTTTGAAGCAATGCTCTTCTGTGTTTAAATTCTAACCACCTCAGGTCATAACAATAAGAATATTTCATGGGTTTGTTTAGCAATAAGAGGTTTATATTAGAATGTTACTTCAATTACTCTTCTTCTGCCTTGCATTTTTGTTGTGTCTTTGTGTTCACCAATTTACATATCTACTCCCTCAAGTTCTGTGGTCACATAGATAGTATTTAATAACCACAAGAAGATTTTTCATCATCTTACAATTTTATTGCTTGCATTTCTGGTGTGCATTTTGAAAATACCTTTGATGTCTCTGGCATTATTGCCATTCTCTAAGTAGTAATAAAATTTCCTTGAAAGATTCAATGGCATACTGTAGGTAGAGGTTTTCCTGTCCCAAATGCCAGAACCCAAATAACCTACATGGAGATTTAAGATTACTGATGACTGCTCAGTCAATAGTTCAGGCTTGTTGCTATCTAGCTCTTACAACTTAATTCATTTCTATTAATTTATGTGTTGTCATGCTTTTACCTCTATCCCATTTTGTATGTCTGACTCGTTGTTCATCTGGCTGGCTATCCCAGACTCCAGTCTTCTTCCTCCCAGTATCCTTCTAGGCTGGCTCTCCTGCCCAATCTCTTCCTGCCAAGCTTTTGGCCAATCAGCATACTTACGAAACCAATGACAGCAACATATACTCATGCAGTGTAAAGGAGTATTCTAAAGCAGGTGTATAAAAGTCTTACTGTGCTTCCTTGTAGAAAAGAGTTTAAATCAGCATATAGATCTCTAAATTAAAATTTAAACTGATATAAAAGTGTTAATATCTAAACCACTGACAGATTCTGAGTGTCTTATATCAGTGTGTTATATGATCAATTCAGTTTGCAATTAAAAATCATTGATAAGAATAGAAACACACAGAAAGGTAAAGGGAAAATGAAAATAATAAAATGTAAGTAAAGGGAATGTATAAATATAGTTCACAACATGGAAGGAAATTTTAAAAAATATTTTATGCATTTAAAATATAATAGATAATGTTAATAGCCATTATTATTATAACAACATAAATTCTTAAGGAAATATCTTACATCAAAGAAAGATTTTGGAAAACAATAACTATTTACTGATAGCTACTAGAAAACAAAAATTATTCCCTTCACTATCATATTAATTTTTACCAACAACACTTATATGGAATATGAATTCCTGACATTCATATTGTTTCATGTGAAATTTAATGAAGCTTCATAGAAATTCCTTTTTTATAATACACATGTGTATATAAATATGTTACATGAGTGCCTATTAGCTACTTAATAAAGTACAAAGTATATAAAGCTCAGTAATAAAACAATATTTTCTAATAAAGTTTACTTTGAAGTCATATGTTTCATTCCTTGATTAATATTAAGATTTCAACCTCAAATAAATGCCAATTTCAAGTATTGTTTTTATATATTTGCCTTAAAGTTTCATGAGCAATAAAAAATGTATTTAGACTGAACTATAACAATCAGTTTTCCTAGCCATGAAAAATTGTATGACTACAGACAGAGAAGATGCTTTTGAGGTCCTGTTTACTAAATTAGATTGCAAATATCAACTTTTTTCATTTTTCTTCTTTTTTTCTAGGAATGGAAAGCTCATTGAAGAAAATGAAAAATATACTTTAAAGGGCAGCAATACAGAGCTCACTGTCAGGAACATAATCAATAAAGATGGCGGCTCTTATGTCTGCAAAGCCACAAACAAAGCAGGAGAAGATGAAAAGCAGGCCTTCCTTCAAGTCTTTGGTAAGTATTACAATGCTGTGATTAGAATGTAGTATTTTTCAAGAGGGAAGGAAGTCAGAACCAACCTTCATGCTGCTATTGGATGCAAACTATATAGTTTCCATAGACAAAAACTGTTTTTTCATCTTAATGACAACCATTAAATAATACAGTCTTTGACCAAATTATCTTAAGAATTTCATGGAATAATATGTACAATTTTACAGATGGTAAAAGAGATTTGTTTACCTTTTACCCAATGAGCTGTATAATATCATACATCTTTGAACATTTATCTTAATAAGTCATTGAAGGACACATGTTGGGATTAACATTATATTTAACACCTTCAAAATTTCTCATGTGTAAGGTTCTACTTTAGAAATGCTGGTTTGTGGCTATAATCAGTGTCTTGCCATCTCTAGAAGATATCATATAGGCATTATTCTTATTAGTCAAGATTCGTACTGTCTTCTCTAGGCAGCTTTCTGAGCGTCTAGATTAGCACAAACCATTGATTTTGCTTTCATTTTCTTGACAACAGTGAAAATGCTCAAAACAAACACCAACAAGAAACACCAAGGACAGACAGATAACACAAAGTCCAAATTTTAGAGGCCAGTGATATTATGTAAATTGTGAAGGTAGATATATTTTATTATAATGAAAATGCACTACCAGTATAATTAATGTTGTCCTCGATAGGCTGATACTTATAAAGAAACACCTTATGTCTAGAGCACCTTCCTAGTGCTGGGACACTTTAATAAGTTCCTCATGTTGTGATGATCTCCACCCATAAAATTACTTTTGTTGCTATTTCATAATTGTAATTTTACTACTGTCATGAATTGTAATGTAAACATCTGATATGCAGGAGATATGATAGGCAATCCCAGGGAAAGGGTGTTTCAGTCTACACTTCAAGGGGTTGTAACCTACAAGTTGAGAAACATTGGTTTAAGCTATGTTAAAGTTAATTATAGTCCTAATTGCATGCAGAAAATGTTTCAATACCTTGTTTTGTCATGAAAAATTTCACACTTATATCTAACTCTACCTCTTCGGTATCCAACAAGCCCTACTCATTTATCCACTTTTCTAGCTTATTAAAAGATGAAAAAAATGACTAAAGAGATGATGTATAAATGTGTTCATATGTGGTTTTTAGAGGAAATTTCAGTTTTGTGGCTTTAGAATATAAAAAAAAAACATTATGTTAGATTAGCAAAATTTTGTAAGTAATTATATTTTATATTGATTTATAAGGATTTGAACATTTTATTGTAATAAAAATAGTTAAACCTTGTTATCTAGAATTGTTCCCTCGTCTTATTTGCAATTTCCTTGATATTTTGAGAAGGCATATTATAACTGCTATGGAGTTAGTCATCTCATATCATTCAGTGTATAGCTAAAAATCCTATATGGAATTTTCACTGTGAATGGTCCAAAATCAACTGAATAATATGTAAATTTTTTACAGTACAGCCTCATATATTACAACTTAAAAATGAGACGACTTCTGAGAATGGTCACGTCACACTCATCTGTGAAGCTGAAGGTGAGCCAGTTCCAGAAATCACATGGAAAAGAGCGGTGGATGGCACCACATTTTCTGAAGGTGATAAGGTAATACTGCTGTTTCCAGAGTAAATGATGCATAGGTATACAACTTAGCTAATATAAACCAAGTGACTATCCTGTTTATTAAACCTACAATAAAGTTAGTTTAAAATGATTATAGAGGAGAAAATTCAATCAATTACTATCACACTCAACGTATCTTAATAGATTATGAAGTCCTAGATTATTAGTAGTACACTCAAAGTGGCTTTCATGGATATTTGGTATACATTGAATCACTACAGTGATGTATACCAAATATCCATTTATATATAGTTAGTTAGTTAAACTTCAAGTGTCTCTGTATAAATGAAGTCATTAAAAAGTGTGGCTCTCACTTAGATGTTACTGTTCAAAAATATTTTTGTGCATGCACTTCTGAATTTATGTAATGAAAACTCTAAGAGAAGAAGAGATACACCATTTTGATGAGCTTTCATGACAGTGAATTGAAGTTATGCATAATACAAATATTACCATGTATTGCACACAATGAGTTTTTGTTATTGCTAATTTTCCCAATCACTCATATTACACTTTAAGTACACACACAAAACAGTGAAATAATGTAGAATGAGAAAAAGAACAGAGACAGGGATAATGGCATTACTGGAATTGGTATTTAACATCTCTAAAAATATATTGGCAACATGTGTACTGAACTAATTGAATACATACAAAAGTTGATATATGTATATATACATAGTATGTATATATTAAAATGGCTCAAAGCACTTTGACTTACTTATATGATAATAAGAGAATTAGGAATTATTTTGTGTATAATACACTTCCTGTCCTTTCACCTGACTGTGTCTTATTCAACATCCTATTAAACTTATAATTTGAAAAGTCGACAGTTTTGCCTGTATCTCGTTTAAAAGAATCTACATCTCACTTTTTCCTGTGTTCATCTGATGACATTCTTATAACAGTGTATAAGTCTTTATAAAATTATTGTGTACATATACATTCACAAGGTTTTTCCTATATTTTCAATTAAAAATAAAAGCATAAAATGTGAATGACTACTATCATCTTTTGGAAGCATTTACTGAGTTTGCTTTCATATTTTCCTGTCTCAAAGAACATAGGGATGGGTATGGCATAGTTTGCAAGTATAAAATGCAATCATGGTCCACAAAACCATGGAGAACATAATAAGATAATTAAAATGGTAAGAAATTATAGTGGGAAATTACCAATACGGAGTCAGGTAGAAATATAAGGGTATTTAATAGGGAAAAGCCTTACTTACAGAGCGAACCAGCCAGCCGGTGGTAGTCTGTACAGCAAGCAGCAAAGAGAGACTGAAACCGAAAACACAGTCCCACTATGTCACTCTGACCACGCCCTCACAAGCCTAGTCAGGCACACCTGTAGCCAGCCCCTAAGAAGGTGTGGCTACAGCTTCCCCTACAAGAAATTGTATCAGCGTAGCATATTTCTGTGAATGATCTGAGTACCCACTTTCATACTATAACCCTTCTTAGGTGTTTTGCTGTGCCAAGTGCTCTGATTTCTTATTGTTTTTCTAGCTAAAGATTTTTTCCTCCATGTTATCTCATACTCTTCATTTGACTGACATTCTTATATGAACGCGTTGAACATGAGGTGTGTATTATCTTGGTTATTTTATCAGTAAAGTAGCATCAAGTAAACAAACACACCTGATGTTTATTCTCACAGCTTGCCCCAAGCCATTTCAAAACCTGCCCCAGGGAATTTTCTTCCATAGTAGCTGTGAGAAGAAATCACTTATTTTTCATTTGATAAGCACTGTCATTCTTGAAGAAAGCCTTTCTTAAAACTTAAGTTAGATGCAACAAGACAATTACAAGAATGTATTTTTTCATACAAATTTATACAGTAGACAATGAGATTAAACTAAGTCCTGTCATAACATTTCTCCAACAATATTTTAAGTTTTCTGACTTATTTTTTGAATATTAGTGTTTCTCCTTTCTGAAACTATCCCTAGTCTCTTCAACAGAAAATTCACAAATTGAATAACTTAGCTGATATTCAAAGGAAGGCTTAGCATTCTTTTCAAATTCCATCTTTGCCACATATACAGGCTCAGCCTGGTTAATAGCATTTGGATTGAATACTTCCATGCCAACAGCCTTCACCATAATGTGTATTAAATTCCTATTTTAATAACAAAGTGAAAAGCACATTTTATGTCTCATGTCAATAATTTTTGTTGCACAGCTTATCTCATTACTCTTATACCAAGTGAATTTAGATTACTAGTAGTCTTTATAAGATGTGACACCTATGGTCTGATTCAACATTCAATTTTACTGGTTAGATTGAGAATGTATCATTTTTGTTATGGAAATTGACATGACATTGAATTTTCCAGGAGATATTATAATATTTCTGATTCTATATTCTCAATCATAAAGTTAATTCAGAATTTCTTGTTCACAGCTAAGGAATATTTAATATATTCATTTGGAGTCATGGGAGTATGAATTCAGGACCCTCCTTGGAAATAGACTTTAACTTTTTGGCTCTTTATCAAGATTAAATTCAATAACTAATTCTTTCAATAGGAAATTATTATTAACAGTACTGTGTAAGACCATGTCTGGGGCCTGAAAATTGCAACACTAAGTAATCACAAGTAGCATAGCCAACGCAAGCAAGATTTTGATGAAATTGCAAATCCATATTTGTGTTTTAGGATGCATACAAATATGTTTTATAACAACATGAAAAGGTACTCGTCCTTGAAAATATATTAAAAGATAATGCCAACTGAAAGTATTTCTTTCATTTGTTTCTTTTTTCTTATTTTTTCCTATTTTTATTTTATTTTTTCCTCTGTTTTTATTTAAATTAAAAACAATCTTATTTTACATACCAATCCCAGGTCCCTCTCCCTCCCATCCTCTCATGCCCCCCACAACCCCACTATTCCATACCCCATCCACTCACCAGGGAGGGAGAGGCCTCCCATGGGGGATCATAAAAGTCTGTCACATCATTTGAGGCAGGGCCTAGGTGCTCCCCTATGTATCTAGACTGAGACACTTTTCTGCATAGGGAATGGGCTCCCAAAGTCTGTGCATTGAGATAAACACTGGTTCCACTGCCAGAGGAGCCATAGATATCCCTGGCCTCCCAACTGACATCCATGTTCAGGGAGCTTGATTCAGTCCTATTCTGGTTCCCCAGCTCTCAGACTGGGATCCTTGTACTCCCTTGCTTGGTTAAGCTGTTCGGGTGGGTTTCCCCAGCATAGTCTTGACACTAGAAGAAACCATATTGAATGAGGTAACCCAGTCCCAGAAAGATAATCATGGTATGTACTCATTCATAAGTGGATATTTGACAAAGAGTAAAGGATAACCAGAGTACAATTCACAACCCCAGAGAAGCTAGGAAGCAAGGAGGACCCTAAGAGAGACATACAGCAACACCAAGAGATGGGGAAAAAGAAAAGATCTCCTAGGCAAATTGTTTTCATTTAAAAAAAAATTCATTTTACATACTATGTCCAGTTCCCTCTTCCTCCCCTTCTTCTACTCCACCACCTGCCCCTTTCTATCACCTATCCACACCTTGGAGGGAGTAATGCCTTCTTTGGGGAGTCAACAAAGTTTGGCATACCAAGTTGAGACAGGACCAAGCCGGTTCTCCTCTGTATCAAGGCTGAACAAGGTATTCCACCATAGTGAATAGGCTCCAAAAAGTCAGTTCATGTACCCAATGTAGTGTTGGTCCCACTGCCAGGGCTCCCCCCAAAAGATCAAGCCACATAACTGTCACCCACATTCATAGTGCCTAATTCAGTACCATGCAGTTTCCCCAACTATCAGTTGATAGTCCTTGAGCTCCCACTATCTATGGTCATCTGGCTCTGTGGTTTTCTTCATCATGATCTTCACCTCCACTTGCTCATATGATATCTCCTTTGTCTATTGAACTGAACTCCAGGAGCTTAGTCTACTGCTTGGCTTTAGGTTACTGCTTTTGCTCCCATCAGTTACTGGATGTAGGTTTGACAATTGTAGGATGACAATTTTGGTAGTCACTAATCTGATTAAAGGGGAAGGCCGGTTCAGACAACCTCTCCAGTGTTACTAGGAGTCTTAGCTGGGGATTACTGGGGATTTCTCTAGTACTAGTTTTATCTCCGTAACATCATAATGGCTCCCTCTATCAAGATATCTCTTTAATTGCTCTCCCCTTCTGTTCCCTTGCTCAACATGGCTACTATTTTGGTCCCTTATGTTCCCATCTCCCTTCACTCCCTTCACTCCCCCCCCCTGCAGTTTACCCAGGATATCATAACATTTTCCCTTCCTGTGCTCCTCCATTTGTATCCTCCTTAGGTTCCCACTTTTTACCTAGAAAGACCTGTATGACAATAAATTTAATATGTGAAGACAGAAATTGAAGAAGGAATCAGAAAATGTAAAGATCTTCCCTGTTCTTGGATAGGTAGGATCAACATAGTAAAAATGGCAATCTTACTTAAAGCAATCTACATATTCAATGCAATTCCTATCAAAATCCCAACCCAGTCCTCCAAAGAAAGTAACTCAACTTCATATTGAAAAAAAATGCCCCAAATAATTCTCTACAATAAAAGAACTTCTGGATGCATCACCATCCTTGACTTCAAGCTCTACTACAGAGCTATAATAATAAAAACAGTTGGTATTATCTGTGAATCAAAGGAATTAAATTGAAGACTATGATACTAATCCACATACCTATGAACACCAGATTTTTAACAAAGAAGCCAAAATTGTACAACAGAAAAAAGAAAACATCTTCAGCAAATGGTGTTGGCATAACTAGATGTCAAGAGTGGAAATAAATCCATATCTATCCCCATGGACAACACTCAAGTCCCAATGTGTCAAAGACCGCAACATAAATCCAGATGCACTGGATATGATAGAAAAGGAAGTAAGAAGTAGCTATGAATGCATGGATATTCAATTGAAGTTAGCACAGACACTGACAGCAATAATCAATAAATGGGA